CCTTCTCAGTGGCCGCCAGCATTCAGGCCGCTGCATGCCTTCATCTTGGGCCGGCAGCTGGACTTGACGCAGTGCGTGCAGGCTGGGCTCTTGTCGTTGCTGATGCACTGGTTCATGCAGTGGTCCCTGGAGCAGCCCACCAACTGGGCCATACAGGATGCACAGCCGCCACTGTAGCCCTTCCTCTGCATGCAGTCCTGACATGTTGCTCTTTACATCCCAAACAACACATCACCGAATCACAGGCGTTCTCAGGAAGCTGGTTACCAACCTATCTCACCGCAACCCATTGAGCCATCCAGTCCTTGGTGCAGGGGAAGCCAGCAGCGCACCCACGGCCGCAGCTGTTGAGGGCAGCATCGAAGCTCCTCCTGCCTCCGTGCTTCCACACGCCAATATCGTGGGAGTTGGTGCAGCCGCCGCCCTCCATGACCTCCTCTTCTTCATCCTCCATGGCTTCCAGGTAGTTGACCTTCATGCCACGCAATTGGTGCAGCTCCAGGCTGCAGTCCTGACCAGCAGCGCAGACGTCATCAGCTGCCAACGCCTCGGCGACATCCTCCGCGAAGGCACCCATGAAGCTCGTGAGCACGAACAAGGCTCGAAGGGCCATGGCTCAGGGAAGTACGAACGCTTTGGGCGAAGAAAGCTTGTTGTCGCTTTCAGAGCAAGGTAAGGCTTGCGGAGGATGACGCGCACAATGAATTGAACGGTTTGCTGACTTCCTTCAATAAGTGATTGGGTCACTGTCCACGCCTGCGCTAAGCTATTCTCTTCAAGCGCTTGGCTGCTTGCATTCAGTGCTTCCCTTACGCTTCGGCATGCTGGCAATGAAAGCGTTCCGCCCGGGTCGACCTTCGAGCAGGGCGCCCAAGTCCAGGTCTGGCTGCTGCGCATCGGCACCTGTCAGACATGGCTTTGATCAAAGAGTGCGGGCAACTTCCCTGCCAAAACAAAAAAGGCTGGCGCAAACGAGGCTGACCATAGGATTCCACACCCATGGCCACTACTGGCCATCTTGAAGCGAGGAACTGTAAGTAAGCCGCGAGCTTGTCAAACTAATGCTATATATGTTCGATGTGACTGCAGGTTTGTGCCTGATTTGTTTCTGCGGCTACTTGTCGCTTCGCTTGCGGCGTGACTGTGCGCCACCTCTTCTGTTGTAAGCAGTGCTCTAGTGCAATCAAATGGTAGCCCAGAACACCAGTGAATTCATGCTGCATTGCTGTACACAACGAACCTCAAGCAAGCTGAACCTAGTAGGCAACAGAGGTCTGAAGCGCAGACTCAGCGATGTCTAATGAGGCCGAGACATCTAAATCCTAGCAGGCATCCGTGGGTGGGCCAGGCAATCTTTCTTAGCATTGCTCCCCTAAGGTGTCTGCCTCGGAGCCAAAACAAGGCTAGCCCAGCACAAAGGCGAGCCATGCTCGCAGCCTCTAGCTGAAGTGCTTCCTGCAATTTTGTAGATCATTCGGCTTTCTCTATCTTTCATGACTTACATCTTCATCATGTCTGCGGCCTGTGTGGGATCCTGGCTGTCTTTTGTCATGTGTTCTCATGGCTTTTGCATCATGCTCCTTTGGGATCAGCTGACCGGCAGACACATGGAGCACTGCTCCCATGCAAAAACAGTGACGCAAAAGAGCAGGCAGATGCAGGCAGGCCGTGTAGATGCCATTGAGCAAGCTGGCGCTGGCTGGTTCTGCATCTTCAGGAGCTGTCACCTCAGCAGTTTTCCACATCTTGCTGCGGCTCAACACAAAACCGCTGCCGATGATGCCTGAAAGTGCGGCGTCCCTGACAAGCCATCCCAATCGGCCTCATCTACCTTGCAAGTCGTACAGTACAAGGTTCGCAGCTTGCTGAACTCCAAACTAGGATTTTAGATATCTTATCAATCTAAATCGATGCCTGGCCAGTGTACAGCAGCCTCAGGAAGAAAAGCAAATCAGCACGGGTCCTCGGTAAAGGACCACATCGTGAGGCTGAAGGCTGAGCGAAAACGTGGTGCTCTGAGCTGCACACACATCCAAGAGTTCAATTGTCTTGGTACGACCTGCGATGGACCGATTTCAGCCTTTGCCTGACTAGAAGGACAGGGAAATCACTGAGACTGAGCTGTGGGCCCTCAGACATCTCTGTGTTGAGCATCTGCCGGAATGGCTGAGAGACAGCTCGAAGCACTGCCGAATGGGCGGTCGCTGCTCCATCCTGTGCGCAAGGCAAGAGGCCACTGAGGTGTCGTGGTGAAAACCACTCCAAAAGCGCAGCGACCGCGGGAGCCGCACCTTTGTCTGGAACCGCACGTCCTGCGAACCATGCGCAGGCTCTCTGCAGGCATGCGTCGGATCCCTTCGAGCAATCCAATCCGCGTGGGGCTTCTGCCGGTTCTGGGTGTCTGCGCAAATTATGCGAAGAAGGAGGGGCTGCTTTACTGCTCTACCTACGCTTATCGACTTTATTGCAGCAGCTTCAGGCCTTCAACAACACCGTGCAAGCAGGTGACATACAGAGTTCCAAATCATGAGACTGCTAATCTGATGCAAATTGGATATGTTGCTTTGTACATCGTGTCACCGTCGCTGGGACATTGCTTCTAGACCACCGCCCTGAGTCACGTAATGTCACGTACATCTGAGCGAGGACAAATATTCAAAGGACTGAAATGTGACATAGGAATTGGGCATCTGCTGTCGCATTAAGTGTCGACTTCGCAAGACAAATGCCACAATGGAACAGGGACCTATCGGTACAATGTATTTAGATCAGTGGTCTTGTGGCATTGAAGAAAGCTTGTACTCTCTGGTCTAATACCCTAAACCCTAACCCTTAAGCCCCTACCGATACGCGCCTTCTTCTCTAAGCTGCCAGGCATGGTAAAAAGTAATGACAACTTGCCATGGCAATCTACTAGGCAAAGCATGGAATGGCCAGTGCCCTTCATTTGAGGGTTTCGTCGACATTTGCCGTATCGGTTGGGTATCGGTTTGAGTATCGGTCTACGTCACACACCAAACACAATCATACACGCCAATAGCTTGAGCTTCTGAGCCAACGCAACCGCATGTGCAGCTGCAGATCCCTCTCATGTGCAACGGAAGCACATTCTTACTTATGAACGGGCCTTCCACTACATTTGCAAGGACCAAATTCCTACTTATTAAGGCTTATTAAGGGGAATTCCCCTACATGTAAAAGGGATTATATTCCTGCTTATTCAGGGACCTTCACCGATACTTGCAAAATAAGAGTACAAAAGCATAAGGGGTATCGGTTTTCGCATTAGGTATCGGTTATCCAGCGAAATGCGTCTATGCCTCATCTAACATGTTTCACAGACCGCAGATTTATTAACTCTCTCATCTGATGCTACCTCTCCGGATTGCTTCAGATTACGGGGTACCGTACGCTTTCAGGGGGCTCCTTTCGCTTTGGTGCTTTTGCCTTTCAAAGCCCAGCTTCCTTCCCATTGTCCCTAATACGCGAGTTTTGATGATACTCCAGGTGGTCAAATTTGCTGCATGCACCATCCCGTCCTTTCCCTCCTCATCTGCAAAGAGCAACTGCCCAGGGCAAGCACATCTCATTGTATCATAATGCATGATGAGCTCAATCAATCAGATGGCACAAGCAAAGCCCGAGAAGGTCAACTCATTGAGCAGTGCAAGCAACACAAAATGGCCATCTCAGCAACCTGCGCAAACATAGGCAGCCAGTCTTCGGCCTCACCGAAGTTGAGGTAACTCGTGCGCACGCAGGAGTACCTTCAACACATAGCGTGACCCGAAAACTTGCCTGTGCGCTACACAGGCTGTCACTGCGCCCTCAACATCCATGCCCTTGCAAAAGCTTTTCCTGCAAGCCGCACTTGCAAAGCTGGCCAACATTTGTTGGCCAGGAGGTAGCGGGCTCACCTATGACACTACAAAGCGTGACAGAATTACTGATTGTGTTGTATGGCCATCACCTTGATTTGTGATTGATGTTGAGGCAACTCAGCCTAAACCCTAATGAGAGTAGCTTGACAGCGCAATCGGACACGGTCCACCATGAATTCCAGAAGCTGCCATCGCGGTGTCTGATCGACACTGCTTGCGCACGCTGCTGCACAGCACAACTCAGAGTTCGCGAGTTGCTCGTCCTGGCATATGGACACACATGTTTTGTAACAAAGCTTTTGTTCCCTCCGAGGCAACCCAACTATTCCGCACTCAACTCCCTAGGGCAGGGGAGGGTTGGAAACACCGTAGTCGTCTCTGATTTGCAATGTCTTTCTCAATGGTATGCCTCTACCCTAAAATGCGTACGGTTGCTGGGCATTAATTTGGACAATTGATTGTAAGTATTCCTTGAGTCTGAATTGCACCATGGCTTCGTTTCTTGAAAGTCGCTGCGAACACTGCCCAGCTTGAAAAAGTCATATGGCAACGCAAGGAACATCAGGAGCATAGCAGGTTAAATGAAGCATATGCTCAGCGCCATATACCCTCACAGTTTGAGCGTGAACTTCTGCAAGCCCGCTGAATGCATTGGCACATCTCCCACAACCCCTCAGCCACAGGATTGCAGCACATCACGTCCTTAAGGAAATTTTGGTAAGCCCTGATTTAGCAGCGGGCCCAAAAAGCTGAGGTGCACACAAAAGGGTGTTAGGCTGGATTTCTGCGTAAATTCGTGTTTTGTTTGTTTTTTTTTTCAGTTTTACTTGAAAAATGCTGATTCGCTTCAATTTCATTAATTTTTGTCAGCTTTGCCTTGTTTTGCCCGTATTTGCAGTCTGTTGGGCTTTTGGGCTGTTGAGGAGCTTCCCTCGCATCAAAAGGGCCTCCATTTCGGTGGGTTTCGGTGGCTTCCGGTGGGCTTCGGTGGCGGATGTTCTCACCTGAAAATCGTCCAACAAATGCTATTTTTTCGGTGGGAACTCCTCTCTGTATCTCTCTTGAATAAAATGGGTCACGGCTTTGTCCCACCTAAAATTTTCCTTTGATTTTTCGGTGGGAATGGGAACAGAAACCTATTAGATAAGAGGCTGCGCAACAAATTTGGGAGCCTATGCTTCTAGTGCAATGTGGAAGCAGCCTTGGCAATGCCTGAGCTTCCGCAAAGCTCACCCGGATGGCCCCAATTACTCAGCCTGACAGGGCTGCCTGTGGCTGGGACACGCAACAATTTGAGAAAATCATTCAAAAAACTTAAAATCATCAAACAAAGGCAGGAGCTAAGATTAACAACTGAAAACGGGCGCAATCGAAAAACAACTCGCTTGCTCAGACGTGAAAATCGTTCATTTCTTCTGAGCACGACAGATAGGCGCCCTACGGACACTTGAAATGCAAAAGACAATGCAAAACGCTGAACATGGTTTGCTCGAGCAATTGCATGAATACAACAAGGATTTCAAGCTCAGGCTTCGCCACATGACTGCACTCTCAAGGCACTATATCTCCAACCTTTCAGTGGCCGCAAGGCAGGGGAGAATGCTAAGCTTAATGCACACACACATGTCGCCTGTTTCTGAAAAAAAAATCTCAACACACATCTTGTCAAAAGCTTGGGTAATGAATCAACGTGACGCGCTCCTACAAGCTTGCTTGATTTGCTGGCCGAAAG